TTGAGAACTGCTAGCAGGGTCTCCCAAGACCATGGGAAAACACAGATATTTACATTAGGATTCAAAACAGTAGCAAAACTACAGTTATGAAGTAGAAACAAAAATAATTTTATGGTTGGGGTTCACCACCACATGAGGAACTGTATTAAAGGGTCGTGGCATTGGAAAGGTTGAGAACCACTGCTCTAGCAGCTGAAGCCTGAAGTCCTGGAACTCGGTGAGACTTGTTGGAGACTCTGACTTCCAGAGCTGTAAGACAATGACTGTGTGCTGCTTTAAGCTACTAGCAGCAACAGGAAACTAATACTCAGTCTTAAATTGGCTGCAATAAGCTTCTTTTTTACCTAATAGGCAATGTTAAGCCCTCAGTGCTTTCTGAATTATCACTTAGCATAAAAGGCAATCAATGCAGAGCTACTGAATGAATGCTGAATGAAATAGTATACAGCCATTATAAAGACGTTTACAAAGAACAAAACAGGAAAATGTTATTTAAGAAAAGAATGTCAATTTGCATTTCAGTGAAATCACAGTTTTATTAAGTCGGCAAATACTAAATTATGCATATAAGAGCTCCAAAAGAAAACAATTTAAAATATTAATAGTGATTGTTCTTGCATGTTGGAATTGTCAATGACTCTTTTTTATTTCTTTTTACATTTCTGCAAATTTTCCATACTGAACAGGTGTTGTTTTCATAATGCAAAAAAGTACGTCAATTTTATTTAAAATTTAGATGTATAATATGGGATAAAAAAACAATTTACATAATATTGGTGCATTCCATCTCTTTATGTATAAATAACTAATTTAATTGGTATTTTAGCCTGACCAGGGTGGCTCAATGGTTGAGCATTGAGCCATGAACCAGGAGGTAATGGGTTGTGGGCTCAAGCCCCAGTGTAGGGCATGCAGGAGGCATCTGGTCAATTATTCTCTCTCATCATTGATGTTTCTAACTCTCCCTCTCCCTCCTTCTCTGAAGTCAACAAAAATATATTAAAAATAATTGGTTATTCAAAGCCTCCAAATTCATAGGTCTATTCTTCCACTAACTATGCAGTCATCACGAATCTGTATTTCATTTTGCAAACATGGGTCAGCTTGAATATTAGTAAAGTTATTATTATCACCTTCAAAATCATCCACTGAGCACCCACTGTGAGCTGCATGAGGATAGCAGGGGTCATAGAGGTAATGATTTACATAGACACTGATAGCTGACTCAGTTGGAAGGAAAAAAGGCCAAGAGAGGAAAAGCTGGGAACCTGCAGAATGACTCAGTTTCACTTGAGTGTGGAAAGAGAAGACAAGTTCTCCCCAGATGATGGCTCGTTGAACTTGAGAAAGTCTTCCGCCACTCAAAGCCTTCGTCTCTTCTTCTGGGTTATGAGGGAAGAGGATCACATTATCTCTATTTGTCCTAGCTCTAAGCATTCTATAAATACACGCATGTGTAAGTATTCACACCTACACATGGACATATAGGCTCTGATTATAAAACAATAAGACAGATTGAAAAAGGCAAATAAATATCAGAAAAATACTTTCACTATTCTGTGGTCTCATTTTTTATTCATACGGGGCTGCTGTGTAAAGTAGATCTTTTGCACTGTGCAATTTTCCACTCATACCATCACTATCAGATAGTTCACAGTATCTTCCTTTTTATGATGTCAGAAAATCCCCTGAACAGTGTATTAAAAGGCTTTAACATCGGAGGGGAGGCAGCAGCAGCCTGTTGTCTGGTTAGTTGCTGAAGCTTTACAGCTTGTCACTTGTCAGCTCTCTGAGGTATGCATTCATGACCTCCGGGAAGCTTTCTACTTCCTTCTGTGAAAATCCAGGGTATTAACAACACTTAACAGCTTTCCAACTAAGTGCAGTGCCAGATAATTTCTCTGTTCTTATGATTTTAAATAAGATGCCATTTCTAGAATATGTCATATGTAAATTTTTAGTGGAATCTCAAAATGCTTGAGTATATTTCCCCCAGGAATATTAATGGGATACCCATTATTTGAAAGAAACTTAAATGATTTACTCCAGATCCTACAGAACTTAGAAGTCTGTAGGGTACAATAAATCATGTGTATACTTAACTTTAATACAGAACAGGAAAAAAATGCAAGAGAAAGATATAATTATATTACAATGGACAGAATCTCAGAGGATAAATAGATTATGCCCAGCTGTCCAGAAAGAGAAATGATCCAGGAAGCATATAGGGTGCATGGCATTGGAGTCTGTTTGGATCTTAAATTCAAGAACTGAGGTGGAAGTTGGGAGCTTTCTTCATAGAGGAAATAGAATAAGCAATGCCTCAGCGGTGGCAAGGAAAATTTAGGGTGTGCATGGAGAAGAGCAAAGAGTGAAAGCTGATGTAACTCCCAACTTTAAATTGGGGAGCACTGGGTTATAGACTGAAAAAATGAACAAGATCCAGCTTCCCAAGGCCTTGAATGCTGACCTAAAGAAGCTGCACTTGATTCTACAGACAGTAGAGAGCCATGTAGGGAGCAATTATGTCATTGTCTTTCACTCACCTCTCTTTTATAAGGGAGACAAAAGTAATTTTTACTTTATATTTCAAAAGGAATTGTAACTTCTTATTCAACAAGTGAACAAAAATTCTAAGCCTTTCTAATTATCAACCCATGAATTAGAAAGTATTTAAACTTTACATGTTTGAAACTCTGAAGGGAAAGGTTTCCTTTGTTGCTCTAGTCTCTCTTTGCTGTGGGAAGAGCAGTGAGCTTATTAAGATGTTGGAATAAAAGCTGACATAGAGGGGGAGCAGGAAGCCCACTCATCTGAGAGATAGAAGGTGGCTGGGTCACCCCTACTTTATCTCCTGGCCTCCAGGCTTCCCAGTTCAGGCCTCTGGTCATCAGGGTTTGGTTATACTCAAACCATATTCCTTTACCTGATTGATCCAGGGCACTGGCTCCAAATCTATATTCTATGCATAGGAACACAACACTGATTCACTATGGTGCTTTTTTGAATGTGTTTGTATGAATCTGTGTGTGTGTGTGTGTGTGTGTGCGTGCGTGGGAAAGAGTACATTTATATGCTATATAATAAAAGCCTAACATGCAAAGTATCCCCTTGACCAGGATTTCCACCACTCGCTGTGATGTGCACTGACCACCAGGGGGTGGCACAGAACATGGTGGGCATTGTCGATGCGCTGGTACCTCTCAGCGGCTACCTAGGGTTGAGCGTGATGGGAACAGAGGTGTGGTGAGAATGTGGGGAGTCTGCCGAGCTTGCTCTCACCCTGCTACCCTGCCCCAGGATGCCCAGGGTTCACACACCCGGGAAGCTCCTGTGTTCAGGTGCCAGGCCCTAAAAGGAGCCCACCCCATACCATCATGGCCTCTTCTGGGTAACCTAGGCTCCCCATGAGTTCATGCAGGAGCCAGTCTGCAAGACTGGCTAGGAAAGAGCATGCTGCCCACCCGGCTTCTGTGTGGCACTGCTTGACAAGTCAGAGGCCCATCTCCACGTGGGGACTCAGGTGCAGTGACTCAAGTTGAGGGTGTATGCAGTGACCCAGGTACTGGCCAGGACCCAGAAGTCAGCTGGGATCTGTCCTTCCAAGCCAGATGCTTGCGCTTCTATCATCAGGCCTAGGGACCTCTCTCATGCATGAATTTTGTGCACTGGGCCTCTAATCTGTGTATATAAAAGGCTAATATGCTAAGTGTATGTCTGGGTAATGACATCATGTAGCAACACTCAGCTTCCTCTCCCTAGCAACTAGCCTCTTTGCAGTTTCTTCAGCCCAGGAACACAACTTGCTTTATAGCCAGGTGGAAACATTTTACACTTTAACCAAATGTCTCTGAAGCATTTCTACATGCCTCATCTCATTTGATCCTCACAGAAGTCCTGGAGTAGGTAGATAAGAGACTTGGTGGAATCCTAGTTTCTTTTCATTAGCCAGAAAATGGAGATTGAGAAAGCTTAGAAACTTGACCCCCCTGAAAAGAAGTAAGAATGGTGGACCTTGAAAGTGATTAAGGTTTTTTCACTGAGCAGAATATAGTCAAACACTGATGCAGTTAAGTATTTTACTCTCTGTTCTCCCTGTGTGATCTACAATAATAATCTGCTTCATGTTGATATTTACTGCTGTGTTGCTGACAATTATCTGAAACAGAAGTTGGGGTGCTTCACTGGGCTGGAAAAAAATGAGCTAAATCAGGTCTAATTAAGTAAGTTTATTCTGTATCTATAAAAGGCTAAGTTGACTCATGCATGTGTGATACATATAAAGTTTTCACTAGCACCAATCGCATGCTTGTGTCATTATTGATTATGAATTTGGTTGATACTTCTATTATAGAGAAAGGACAAATAGTGATTTTAAAAATGTTTCTTCTAATTAATTTTCTTTCAATGTACACAAATTCGTGCACTGGGCCACTAGTATAAATATAAAGATAAACATAATTACACAAAGTTGTGATTGCTCATACCATTATATTACTGTTTTATCTGTTATAATAGAAATCTATTATTTTTCCTGAATAGTTGGTGAGCATTTTGAGAGCAGGCCCACCATATAGTAACTTGCATGCAGCCAGAACTTAATTAGCATTTACTGATTAACTGATTTTAGGAAAGCTCTTTAGCCTCCAGCTTATGCTGCATTTCATTCTAGAATCAGGAGAATAGCTGGTTAACATATTAGGTATAAAAGGACAAAAAAGTATGATTTCCATTTTCCTTTAGATCTATGAAAAAGCAAAATGGGTTATTTCTTTAAAAGCTCCTGAGATGAAGTAACTGAACTCATCAAATGAGAGCAATCTATCAATGTGTGTGTGTTTGTGTGTGTGTGTGTGTGTGTGTGTGTGTGTGTGTGAAATCAGCCAGCTTCCAACTGCAAAATGGAGAAATAATGTGCAAAATATTAAATACAGGTGATGTTAGCAAATGGAGAGAGTTTGTGAATTAGTAGGGTTGTATGTGTCATACTTGCAACTTACCTCAATAAAGAAGATGCTGGCTGTTGATGTTGGGTGATGATACATGTAGACGGTCACAAGGATGGCTGCTGCTATAATGAGGACCAGGATGAGGATTCCGACAATGAGGCCAGCATGCAGGCTCCCTCCTTTCTTCTCGGCTGCACTGTCATCTGTGGAAGCTAAGAGAAGAGCACAGCTGTCAGGACATCCATGTGTGCACTCTTAAGCTCTTTTCATTAGAAGGAATATTTATATTTTAAGTAAAGTACTGTTGGATATTTTTTTTTTACTTCCTGTGCAACTTTTCTTTTTCATAACATCTGTTTTAGAAGGTAGATGCTCTTTATTTGGGCAATAAAAATATTCATACTATTAGTGATTAAAGATATATTTATAATTACGTTATAATTTATAGTTCAATAAGCAAGATCAATAGCCTTTGTTCTAAAAGTACTGCAGAAAATCTAAAACTCTAACTATATAATAACCTTAACTTTGATTTTCTTCATTAAACCACTGGCACTTTTACCTATGGGAAAATAGATTACTTTTCAAAAGCTCCTCTCTAATTTTATTTTGGAAATTTCAAATTGAAGAGTGTTAGGCATCTTTTCTTTGTGGGCTACCAAGGCTTTCTGAGAAAGTCTGCATGAGTTCAAAGGATAATTTTCAAAATCTGTTTTAAACTGCAATGCTCTTTTAAAATATAACAGATGGGAGCTAAATGGCCCTCAAACAGTTTTACCGCTATCTAAAGGGAACACACAACATATAAAAATATCCCACTATGCCACAGACCAACACAATTTCTCTGACTTTTACTGAGATGCTTTCCACCCTGCTACTCATTTTCAGAGAGGTATTTCTGAATTTCTAAAGTAATAACTTTCCAACTTAAAGTCAATCAACCAAACAAAAGTAATCTGTAAAATATTATCTTGTTCTAAAATTCTATAATCTTTGATGACTACCCAGGCATGTAGAGGAGATCTTAAATTATGTGCAGCAGGTAACTGTCTCTTAGTGCAAAATAAAATTGGTATTTTTGACTGAGAAAATTCATTAAAAGTCATAGAAGTTTTAGAACAGTGATTCCTAATAATTTCATTACCAATTTATGTCTGTTATTTTCACCATGTGCTTCTATATTTTAATGATTTTTTGGTCTATTAAATCTCATTTAATAAGCACCAATTTATTAATTTTTAAAAAAATTTAATACAAAAATATGATTGCCTATCAGAATGTGTGGTGAATGCTAAATAACAGAATTCTAGATAAATCAAAGAAATTCGACCTCCCCAATTTTCCCACCCTCCCTTTATGTTGTTATTGTTTGTTTTCTCTGTTTGAGAACCTTATTGTTGTTCAGTAATCTTTTTCCAAGTCAAATAAAGATCAAAACCTTAAAGCTTTCCCTTACCTAAAAGAAATCAATTAGTGAAAGAATGTAAAATGTAAAGAGTAATTATATATATATATATATATATATATATATATATATATATAAATTATTTACTGAGAGAATTCTGGGAAGATGGCAGTAAAGTATCAGGAATCTGTCTCCTCACCTAGATAACAGTTTCACTGGTAGCATCTGTCCAAGACAGTGATTGTCAAACAGTGTGCCAAGGCAGGCACTGATGTGCCACAATAATTTTTAAAACATTCATTACCTGACTATTTAGTCAGAGACAGTTGACTTCTTTTCCCTTAGATTGTTAAATTAAAAATAATGACAATAGTCAATACAACAACAGTAATCTGGTGTGAATGAATTAAAACCATATATATATATATATATATATATATATATATAGTTTTAATATATATATATAGATATAGATATAGATATGGATACAGAGATATAGATATAGATATAGATATACTTTTTCAGAGTGGCAAAAGATATGCTTCTTGGTGTGCCACAGAATTTTAGTAATTAGTTTATGTGTGCCATGAGATGATGAAGGTTGGAAATTGCTGCTCTAAGGTTGCTATTTTGGAACTCTGGACTATATGAAAGGCTTTCAACTTTCCAGGGAAGGCTCAGACCCTAAATTGTGATTAATTTTAGTCAATTTCAGCTCTTAGCACAGTAGTAGCTACCTAACCTTCATCCCTGCACCATGTGACAAGCAGCTAAGCATGTGAACTGATCACTGATTGGTGCTTCTGATCACAGAGGCACACAGAAAGGCAGGCAGTCCTTGTTGCTCCTCCCCAACATGATTACAAGCCTCTTCCCCTCTGGTTGACTGAATTCCAAGGGATTTAAAGAGCCAGTATTCTTCTGCCCTGGCAAATGTGGCTGAGATGGCTGAGCATCATACGATGTACTGAAAGGTTGCTGGTCCCATTGCAGATCAGGTGCATGCCCAGGTTGCAGGCTTGATCTCCAGAAGGGGATATGCAGCAGGCAGCCAATTGAAGTTTCTCTCTCTCTATTTTTCCTCTCTCTCTTTCTAAAGTCAATAAAAATCCATTTAAAAATATAAAAAGAGGCATCACCCTTTTTATTGCTTCTCTCTTTACTTTTCTCATTTCCCCCTTTTAGAAGCCGGATATGAACAAGTAGAACACTCACAAACAACTATGAATAAGGGGAAAACTTAAAAGTGACAGTGCACACCCAGGCTTAGAATAGACTGGAGAAGACCTTAAGTTTATTTTTCAAGCTGAACCTCAATACAGACACAGCCTGCAACAATAAAAACAAACAAAGAACAAACAACAATAACCAAACCTAGCAAATCCTGTGGTAGGAAAATAATTTGATTCCCAGAGTTACCACATTATTAGGTTCAAATGTCCAGTTTTGAACAGAAATTGACAGAAAAGGTGTGGCTTATTAAAAGGGAAAGTAATCAATAGAAACTTCCCTGAAATAGAGTCTATTAGAAGCTGGAGAATATTCAGAAAAGTCAGGAGGGACCCAAACTTTTATTTCACCTTGTGGATTATCTTAATGCTCTTTCACTCATATCCAAAATCCAAACAACATCCTCACCTACACACAGGACAATTAAAGTATTTGGCCTTTTTAGCTTTATATTGTATATTCAAATAAGAGGAATTAACGATAAATGACAAGACACCATAAAGTAGAGCCTAATTGCCACAAAAACAAATATATACATATATTTGAAAAGTCTATCAAATTAAGGCCTTCTTTGTACTACATTAAAGACATTTTAAAACATACATCATGGTCAGAAATGCAATAGTATCAAATTTAATATGCTCTCATCTGATGAGACATTCATGTTTCTAGTTTTTAGTACTTTATCAGATGCAGGTCAATATTTAGACACAAAGAAAACTGAGAATTCTCAAATGTATCAAAGTAGTTTGTGATGTGGGGTAGTTTTAGTTATGATGATAGCAAAAACAACAGTTTTAAAAGGCATTAAGCACAGAATAGATAATATTTAAGACCTTACACAAATGTCTTTAATTTGCTGCATTCCAAGAAAAGTTTATGACTTGTTGATAAGAAGGAAGAAGAAGAAGAAGAAGAAGAAGTAGAAGAAGAAGAAGAAGAAGAAGAAGAAGAAGAAGAAGAAGAAGAAGAAGAAAGAAAGAAAGAAAGAAAGAAAGAAAGAAAGAAAGAAAGAAAGAAAGAAAGAAAGAAAGAAAGAAAGAAAGAAAGAAGATAGGAGGAAAGAGAAGAAAGTTTGATATGTTTCTTCAAAGTGTAACATTTAATTTTAAACCTTTATGTCTTCTTGTTTTTTCTGTGACTGACATTTTTCAAGGTTTATAGCACATAACACCAATAGTCTGTTAAGTACAATTCTTCAGGATGATAAAAATATTTTTATATATTGCTAAAATGATCTGTGGCCACTATTAAATCTTGCCAATAATTTAAGTGCAGAAATAAAATAAAACTAAATTACAAATGCTCCTTGTCTGAAATTTTATTCACTTTAGAACTAACTCTCTCCTTGACTTTAGAAAGAAACACCACAGCCCATAAGTTCTGCTTTGTAGTAATGTCCTTTGGGGGACCAAGAGGCTTTGGACAAAATCTTGCACAAACTTATTCAAAATTCATAAATCTTGTGCAGATAATGTCAAAATGTTCTTTTAAAAAGATAAGTAAAGTTAAACTATAAAATGCTCAATATGTTAGTGTTCCATTTTTGGCTTAAAAACACACACACACAGACACAGGGCATTCCCTGTGGAATATTAGCTAACCCATTTATAAGCTGAAGCATGTAATGGAAGAAAATCAAGTGATACAATTTTTCAATAAATTAACTTTCCTTTTAAAGTTTCTCTTGTAACTGATCTCATTTTGTAGCGCATATATTTTTCCTTTTAGCTCTCAGCTTTTCTACAGCTATGATAATTTAGTGTTTCTCCTGATGTTTTATGCATTCTCTTATTTTTAAAAATCCTCATTCCAGAATGTTTTCTATTAATGAGAGAGAGAGAGAGAGAGAGAGAGAGAGAGAGAGAGAGAGAGAGAGAGAGAGAGAAAACAATCAGTTGCCTCTTGTACGTGCTGATGCAAACATGGAGTTAAAACCAGAACCCTTTGGTGCATAGGATGACACTCTAACACTATAATCAACTGAGCCACCGGCCAGGGCTATTCTCTTATTTTCCTAATTCTCTTAGTTCTTTCAGTTTCCTAATCATGGTCTCTACTTTTTTGAGTGCTCACCAATCTGTCAAAATTATGTAGGCAGTAGGGTACCTTGAAAAAGTATACAAGCTATACCTAATCCACAATATGTTTCACTGTGCCAACACATTCATAAGCCACATTATGACATCTCCTTGGGAGGGATTTGGGTAAGTACTGTGAAAAGATGTTAAAGTGAGTGCAAAGGACACAGCTAAGTGCATTATGTATGGTGAGAACAATAGCTGGCAGGAGCAGCTGGCCCAGATTCTCTTTTGCGGCCTGTGCTTCTACATGGCAACTGTGAAATTTCATTCAGGGCAGCATAGAAAGCGTTAGGGGCTAAAGGAGTTTAGGGTATGACAATCTTTTTAAACAATAATCCATTGCTTTTCGTCTTAGAAAAATGACGCTAACTAAAATTACCATGAAATCATAGTAAAAGAAATACTTGATTCCATCAAATTGAGGGATTTTGGAGAGCGGCCACAGCCCAGCGTGCCTCTGGCCTTGTGTGATCAGAGCCCTCATGCAGGCGCA